AGAATTCTGAGTAAAGCTTCCGAGGTTCCTTCTTTGTACGGAAGTACTACTGGTGATTTATATCCCCTAATGTGAGTGTTGTCATTATCCTGTGCGCGTTTGACATGCATGCCATCATTAATAATGATATTATTATTATCACCATCACTACCATCATTATCAATTTTATTTTTATATTTCCCTACATACTTCCTGATTAATTTATCAGGGTAATTATTAAGTTTCAAAGCTTCTCCTAAGTGCCTCACTTCCTGTCTTAGATTTTCCTTGGTACTACTTAGTTTTTGTGCCCTAATACTTAAACATTTCACCAACCTTATTTTTAATGGCACAGGTAGAGATGACCGGAAATCCAAGTATCGGTTTAAATGTGCAGGGTTCCTGTGAACACCAGTGTTTAACTTCCCATCTTCTTTCCTTTTCACGCTACAATCTAACACTGGAAGCTCCCCTTGCTAACTTTCCAATTCATAAGTGAATTGAATTGCCTCCACCTTTCAATTGATATGTTCGAAAAATCTATTTATCTCCCGTGTTCCCAGTGTGGTGAATGTGTCATCTGCATACCTCCACCATACTTTTGCGGGTGGGGCTGAACGCTTGAATCGCTAAGTTTTCCCACTTATCCATGAATATATCTGCCTTAATTGGGGATATTCATGACCCCATGGAAACCTCCTCAGTTTGCTTGTATATTTTCCCTTGGGACTGAAATACTGTGGGAGTCAGGCATAGCTGCACTCCCAGCATTATGTCCTCAAGTGGCACTTTCGTTCTAAGTTCGAGTTCTTTGTCAGCAATGAGTTCGTTTCTGACTGCCTCTATAGCCATATTTATTGGTCCATGTGTATATAGACTGACGATGTATAAACTAACCATTTTTTCCTTCGTTACATAATTTTAAATAATCTAATCCATGTTCTAGTTCACAAGAATTTGTCAATCTAGATTTTGAGTGGCTTTTGAGAGGATTTAATACCATAGCTAAATATTTAGATAATTCATAAGTAGGTGAATTTCTAAAATCAACTATGGGTCTAATAGGGTGTCCAACTGGGGTTACTATTTTTCGGCATTAAGTCAAACCATTTAGACTCACTGTGTGATATATCTAATAAACGAATTAATATGGAATTACATATTATCACAGTACCAAAGCTTTACACATATATTAAATCTGCATAAGTTTGCACTAGTGTTAAGCTTATCATCTGATCTCAAATTTACCAATCACTGAGGTATATTAGGCTGCATAAAGTAGAAAACAGCTAGTTGTCTGTCTGCCGAGATCCTGAATACGGAAGTCTAATAATGGAAACATAACTCTGAGAAATTCTGCTGCCATTCGACTTATTTGACTGATTTGTTTCAGAGGGATTTAAATGACGAATCCCCGGCTTCTGCATAGTTAACGGAAGAAACGTTTCGTCCTAATTTAAGGTTATTCAGCGGTGTGCACCAATGTGGTTTAACAATTAATTACCTCGTCAGAGTAATATGTTTCATCAACGCCATATTTTTTTGAAAACTGGTCAGGAGACGCCAATTCACCACAATAGACAGCTGTTTCTTCTGATATTCTGGGGATAAATAGAGCGGAACGTCCAGATGCAACTTCAATCGTCCCATAACAATCGGGTTCAAGACCACCAAATGCCCAATGAAAAAATGATTCCTTTTCAAACAGGATGAGAAGAAAACCGTCGAAAATCATTTCAATAATCAAAAGGCTCAGTCTAACATGGAGAATTGCGTAACAAACTGGCAAGAGAAATGAGAATAACAAATGTGCTGTAAAGGAGAAACGTCATTGTAAAACAAACATTTCATTTCAAGTCTGTGGGGATTTAGAACAGTGAAACATGAATTTACCTCTTTTGAAAAACCCAAAATGTGTATAATGTGGGGAGACATTTGGTTAAAATTTAACTCTAGGTGAAATACTTCACAATTGATCGCTTGCCTCACTTGAATCATCTGATAGATTGTCTGACGGCTTGTTACAGTAAAACTTTGTACACAGATGCATCAGAAATTCGTATGGAAGTCTGTGACTAATTCGATAGCTTAACCAATTGCATGGAGAGTAATGAGGATTGAATGAATCTGGGAGATCACTAGGTATCAATGTGTCTGCGGCATTCAGAACGATTTGGAGCCACGTTACAAGCAATCTACAATCACTGGGGCGTCCCAGTCAAGCAGACTACACCTTCCTACATGACATAAACCTATAGTGTAAGGCTTCATGAGTTGGTTCAATGTTTTACTCTGATTACACTCACTTGTTTTCCAATCCACTCGTACGCCAGTTGGGATTGCTCATTGAGGCTGGCAATAGCTTGAGAACAAGAACTACATGTTGTCAGTCATGTCAGTCAATGACATCGACTGACTTCCAGTACTCACTTAACACTCTACATTTAACTTCAGTATTACTAACCCCATTACACCATAAAACACTGACTTCAACGGTCGCGTCTCACAACTATAGGGGACGTGGCAAACTGCTGAGCAATGCACGCACACATTGATCAATAACTGAACATGACGTTCAAGCCAGAGTTGCTGAAAGTTGGCAAATTACACATGAGCATTTTGTATCCCTGCTTCGATTCTATCAAAAACCAGTCTATCAGGAATAATGCAAATTCTCAATTAAATGAAATGGTCGACATGCTAAACGACTTCACTCCCTAACCTCAAACTAGGGGTCGGTACAAACCAGGCCTGCAGTAACATCTTACACTTACAGGGTGTATCGCATCCAAAACATCCTAGGACATCTATTTCCCCATTGTTCAGGAGACTGAGTTTTGTCAGCGTCTCCAACTAGTACGACTACATTATCTGCATCCCCTAAATCTAGACTTCTCATACGATTTTACATGACCACGTAAGTTCGACTATAGTTCTTTGATTGTGAAAATATACTTGCTTAGTAGCCGTTATACAGGCAAACAGTGACACAGAAACTCTTGAGTTTAATGCCTCCTATAGAGTTAGAAATATAACAAGTATTAGACACTGGTAAGCATGCCTATGTCCTTGAATCAGTCAAAAGGTGAAGATAAGATCAATATATCCTCTTCCAAGCCTATATAATCTGCATGGTCTTCACGGGTTCGTTTCTCCCAATATTCATTTAGTCTACGCATGACTAATGAACCTTGTACTTTACGTACTACGTCAGTCAAGCTGGCGCCCTATGATTATTATAAGAAGACTTGTCTTTTTTCTTATAATCTGGGTTAATCAGTGATTTACACTGGTGTAACGGAAATATTTGTGATTCCCAGACACCATCAAATATTTTATTTGTAGACTTGTTCCGCTAAACTGAAGAAGGGTGTGGATTAGACTAATGAACCCTCTGCCGCACCTGAAGTCTGCCCAAGTAGTTACCACAGAAACATTCATTTCTTTTTTACGCCAGTCTGATTGGACAATATTAAATCCCCATTCAATAACTAATATATTAGTATGACCAACAATTTCTTACCACCACTTCTAGATACCTGTAGTCATACTACGAGGTCCCACTGTTTTCCTGATTTCTGATTGAAAACAGCTTTTAAATTCTCAGCTTTACACCTGTACGGTTTTCATCGGTTTGTTTCTCCCTAATTCATTATGAAGATTGTTTACAACACTATGTAGATTAGTTCGATCGTGTAGGTGAACATGATGTTTCATGTCTGATCTCAGTTCAGGTGAATAATTAAAAGCCCAACTTTGATTGGGAGAATAGTGTTGTCATACGACATGCAAACTCAAAGGCAGTAAGACAATTCCAAGAAGCCTGGTACTTGAACTAGCCCTCAGTTATAGCCATGTGAACAGATACACAATCTGCAGCCTCCTTAGACAGAAAATCAATCATTTCTCCACTAAATGGAAGAATTTGACCAAGTGGATCAGCAAAGAAGCCTTACTCACACACTACCTAGGAGAATTACTCTCGTGACACACGATAATATATGGGATAAAAACATTACTAAATAAATCTCTTTCCTCTCATTACATTTGGACAAGAAAATGCAACCTAAATATTCACCTGACATTATGAATATGCCTTAATTCCCGATGAGTATAGTACTGAAGATGATGTTGAACCTGATGATGAAAAATCTACGATCGAATATTAAAGTTCAGAGGACAGTACACAATTTCAGTCGCCATCTTGAGCTACAAATTTTCTTCATTACTACCATATTTCTTAATTTGCTCACTGATTATTTCCTCTGTTAAAAAGCATTTACGAGGGTAAACCGAACAGCCTTTATTCTTTGCTTTCGATTCACCTTCTACTCCGCATGCAAAAGTCTGTTGTCGCAGATTGGACCATTGCGTAGTACTGATAGGTCTTGTAGCCACATCTGTATGTCTGCTTTGAGGCTCTCAACGTAGTTTGAAGGTTGTCGGAAGTTATTCAGTCTCGGTAAGTCAGTGATTGTGATCTCGTGAGGAGTTTGCTTCACAACTGCCTGACTACATAACACACAGCCCTACTCACATTTAACTATTGAAACCTGTGGCTTTTCAATCTGGCATAATGATATTCCACAGTAAATATTCCACATAGGAGCATAGAAATAAAAAACACTTGAATTGATTTTTTAACACTAGGATCCATATCTAGAGCACGAGAGACCCACCTGTCGGAACACATTGGCAGAATCAGATTCCCCCAAATAAGTATCAGTACCGCCTTGTAGTACAACATATACGCCTGAAAAATCTGATGATAATCCTTCCATAACAGTATTCACCAGCTTGTTTCGGATACGATCACAAAGACGCTTCCGATTGGTGGCGTGTAACTCCATTGGTATGGCAAGACATTTGCCTAACTGAAATATGGGGGCTGTTCTACCCGCAGCACCTGGAAACATCTTTAAAGTATAATAATTAATTAAAACATGCTACTGGCGGATAAAGGAAAGAGAAAAAACTGGAATCTTTTCATTACAACATTTATTTGTAAAACGAAAGGGATCTTAACCAATTTTGAGCATATCTGAAAGGTCAGAAGAATCATACTTTAAACGCATACGGTATATATGACTCATGAGTGCTGATCTAGAGAAAAGTAAAAAATAATTAGTAATGCATTTGACGAATATGAAAGATACCTATCACTTTGGTCTGATATTCCTAGTCGCAGCAGCCATTCGTCCGTCATTAGGCGCAAACACATACCTTAGAAATAAAATCAGCACATTACTGGGTTGCTTACCATTAATCTTGTTCGCTTCAAATAGATCCGAATACTTAGGACCAACTGGGCTGGCATACTTATGCAACCATTTGACAACATCTTCAGGTGTCCAGTTTAATACATGTCTATTTTTCTTTTGCTAGAATCAAAGGTGACAGCAGGTAAATTTCCATACAGTCATCGTAAGTTGCAAGTTTCCTTGATGTGGTAATCGAGAACAAAATCAATCACAGTGCCTCACTTGGACAAAGCATTAATGTTTTCATCTAAAATAGAATTATGAACTATAAATATAATACAGGAATGTATCAACATGTAAGGCTGTAAGGAACATGTTAAAATGACCGATTCAGCACCATCATCACTGAGACAAAGCATTAAAATTTTCATTGTAATTTGAGCTTAAGGGAAACAGCCTAGTCAGGCAATCTATACTTTCCCAAACGCCTCAGATGACCTCACAGATTTCTGTTGACGTTTATTCCCAAAACGTCTAACTTTCCTTGATCCTTACCCTACTTCAGCAGACAAATCTTTTTTGAAAGTCAGTGAGGTGCCGTGTGTAACGTTGAATGATGAACGTCTATAATTTTCTCGAATTAGTTGCCCATTTTACCTAGAACTCTGCATCTAACCTACGCTCTACGCATGATTTTATCATAAGCAAGCAGTATTGCAAGGGTAGTGCTTTTGAAGTGCGTTCTATTTTAAAACTCAGTCAGTCATTCAAAGGGTTAGTTTTCCTCTCATAAGCTACTACACTAAATTGGTTAGAACGTACGGTATTATGAACTTTCGAAACCATCATATGAACCGTATGTGAAATTCGAAAACGTACTTATATTATTATAGTGCCATCAAATACAGGTGCTTGAATTGAATGACTGACTGGTTTCAACGTAGAACGCAGAGATGTACAACAGTTCAAGTTGCCACACTCTACGTAGCACACAAACCAAGAGAAAAGAGTAAAGAGAAGTTCAAAAGAGAAATAGAGATAATAAACAGAAATACGAGGCAAAAAGAATAGTAATATGGAAGAACAATAGAATTTTATTGGGTATTATAAATCACAAAAAGTGAATGCATCTGCGCCAGCCATTGAGAATGATTTTCAGCCATATCACCGACTGTATCCAGCCTTCATTGGTTTATGCCATCCCGAGGATCCCAACAAGGAAGTTTACATCTCGCTACGTGGCTTAAGCTAAATGTTTTGGATTTTATTGACTTATTTCATGTTTTCGTTTGACCACCATCGCCAGTAGCTCTTTTCCAACCTGACCCTGTGTCAGCTAACATTGTCATCGAAGAAGGCCATCGATGGTTAGGCATGCGTAATAAACACATGTCCTAACCATCTTAATCGGTGTAACTTCACAACGTCGTCTATTGATTTCCCCTCCTTACCTAGCAATCGACGCCGAACCTCAATACTGCTAATCTTATTATATCACTTAATACGGGAGATAGAATGCAGACACGTATGATCAAAGACAGCTAGCCTTTCCGTATCTTCCACTTTCAATGGCCATGTCTCGCTCACAGCCATAAAGGGCAGAGAGAACTGCTGAACAGTACACACGCCCTTTGGTTGACAACCAGTCGTTGAGAAGACTTCTTGTTAGTTTGCGTGTGAGCAGTTTTCACTCCTCATTATAATCAGAGCTCACCAGAATCAATCTTCTTGCCTTAAGCAGTTCGGATGAGGTAGTAGAAATCCAATGGCTCTTACTAACTTTTGGTTTCAGGTTATCAACAGCCTTCACAACTGTGTCTACAGCTAACTGTATGTTGTACCAGGTTACCTCAGGAGGAGTACTGCTGTCGACCTCAGATACGCGTTTCGCTATTTCTTCCTTAAATAAGGACTCGGTGTCTTGGTCTAGTTGGAGGCGTAATAGCTGCCAATAGTTTTTTATGTCCGTTTAGTCGTAAGCATAAAGGTACGCGAATCAGAGCGTGATCGGAGTTTACGCACGTGTTCCAGGAGGAGCACCAGTCTCCTACTGATCCTCGCCAACGATAGCCTATCGGTATGTGGTCTGTCTAAGTCCAACGTTGATTCGATGATGGAGGTCACTAGGTTACTCAGTCTCTTTGTGCCTAAATTTGGTGCAGACTAGGAACAGACGATTATCTGGACAGAACTGTAGAAGACGATCACCGTTGTCATTCCGTCGGCATAGAACTACGTACGTACCACTTATATACTTTTCATTCTAGTCTAACTCCCCTACCTGGGCATTAAAGTCGCCTGCTAAAACAACTATCTTTAGGCGTTTTGCTTTTCGCAACAAATTGGACAGTGGTAGAAAAAATCCTTTAGTTCATCTGAACTGCAGTCTTTTGGGGGGGGTAAGCGGAGACTACGAAAAGACAACGACGGGTAACGCCGTCCTTCTTTCTTCTAATGGGCCCGTTCAGCTTGACCGCGCACATACAACTATCTACTGGGGTACCTAAAGTAGAAACAATTAGTTTTGCTTGACTGCGGAGCCCAGGGGACAACTTCTTGAAGCCATTCACACAGCTTGTATGAATTGGCTTCTTGGATTGGTTCCGTATTAGTAAATTACTGCCGGTTACGGACCACCGTAGGATAAGTCGGGAAGTAAGATATTCAGGGTTGACCTTTTCTAACAGCCATCTGTAGACGAGAGGCATTATAGCTGGCATACTGGTAATCTGAGGGAAAAAACTTAATTGCTGTCACATTCTTATTCACCAGCAGTACGGCTTGTTTTACTGACCCCCAGCATAGTGCAAAAAATTCTTACACCATGCCTGTAACTGCTTTTAGGCTAATCGCTATCCTAAAGATCTTCCTGCCATTGTAGGACCCGCAGGAACAATAGTTCCAGCTAGTGTAGCTTGTTGAGTCATTGCGATATGCAAGCCCGACCACTACGTTAAGGTAGCAGCAATCGGTCGGGAGTGATAAAAGCAGTGACAGCTTTACCATTTCATTTATTAACACAACGTCTTCACCAATTATTTCGTATAAATGAACATTTCCACTCTCCATAGTTTTGTTTTGCTCTTCACAATCTATTATGCTCTTTAAAAATACACAATGAGAGAATTCTCAGCCAAGCTGCCTGCATGCATACGGCACCAATGCTGTGTTCTAACGACAAACTGAATTGTTGGGAATCACTGTTTATTAATGACAACAGTAGATATACGTGGAAACCTGAATGGAACAATTCATAGTTAATGACGACAGTGTCCAACTATTTAAACCTTGGGAAACGAAGAGAGCATGTATTTCAAAGAATGTTATGAGCATCTACACAAACAGGCTTGGAGAAATAAAACTAAGCGATATATATCATAAAGTTTGCTGATTAATGCAAGGATGAACCAAGCCATTGTAAAAGGACTGTAAATTCCATTGTAATTATTTGAAATGCTAATCAATCTCATTTTAAAAATTTGGTGAAATAAACTACCATCGTTCAATATTCCACTTCCTAACTTTTTTCTGGTACATTTTACATTTATAAACCAAGATAGGAAGCAATATTATGAGACAGTAGTACAATAATACCAAGAAACAAAAATGGACATATCATACTACTGCAGTGATGAACAGATCATAGTTGGTAAACGTTCATGTTCATGGTTTGAATTGCTCTAATTAGCGCCCAGGTTTGTCGAAAACCAACACAAAATACACCATCCGTTTTGAACAACCAAACGTTACTTTCACCCCCATACTTACTGCTCCTGGCTTAGCGATATATAAATAGAACTGGTTCGAAAGATAACAGGTGCTTGTTATAACGATACGTATCATCTATCACCAAATAAAAGCAGGATATGAAAAAAATCTGTAACTGATTGTTGACCACAAAATGCACAGCTAGTGATTGTCTTTGTACTGTAAACCACAGCCAACAATTATACGCGTTCTTGTGAGATCTAAATTAAAGTACTAATCACCGCTAACTAATATCACTCCACAGACTCTGGCTCTTGTCGTACTCAGTCTTCAAACAATACTCTACAACGGGGTGTTAGCTTACATAGGATTAGACTATGAGAATTTAGTGTGGTCACATTGAAACATGTTCTTAGTCTATTAAGTATTTGACTGTTGGTTTGAATCACATGTGGACTAGCTGGCTCGGCTCCTCAGGATGATAAGAACCAATGGCTCAAAAACATCCACATACGCGAAATCACTAGCTGGAGATGCAAAAATATGTGCAGGATAACTACTTTCCGGTTATTCGGTTCCTGGAATTAAGCCCCAATCATCCTAAACACTTACTGACCACTTACAATGACAAACGATTTGCAAACATGACTGGCCCCATATCCTACAACTACCTCGTGAATTACCCACTACCTTCCCCCACGACGCATCCTGGATTATAGTTGTGGAATATACCTTTATACCAATGAAAAAGTATTAATTTATAATACTCCACGATTTTAATTTATAATATAACTGATTGTGCCTGTAAAAATGGCTTACATTTCTTGTAAACACCCGTTTATAAGAAAATATAAACTATTATTATTAGTCTGCATTGAGTACATTTCACTTCTGGTGTTACTCACGATAAAAATGCTGACAAAATTATATAAATACATCACTTATTTTAAAATAGCACCTCAATTGGATATAAATCAAGAATAAGATTCGATGCCGTTCACACAAAAGTTATATGAGGGAAATGACTTCAAGGTTTATTTTTTCCCAAGTATTTGTTAAACATCCAAAACATACTTGGTTTATTTTTGGTGATGCGAAGTCAATATTTCTATATTACTTGATGTGCTCCACTTAATGACTATTTAGCAGATTGTTTCCACAAACCAAAGACAAAAAAGACAGCAACTATGTAGTTTCACCATAAACCGAATTTATGTAATTTAATAATACTTATCCAAGCCTGTACAACTGCTGTGTCCTGCATAGGTAGGAATATATAAGTATTTTATTATATTATTATTATTAAATATGCTTACTAATCGTGTATGTAACTTATCATATTGATGATGCCCGTAAATTAGCGTCCCTTATGTACAAAAAATGAGAATATATTATTATTACTATATATCTTATGTGAACTCTGGAGTGCATCTCAGCTTACTGATAGTTGGTGCCCAATCAACATTTAAAAAGGACCTAAACCAATGGAAGTGGATTGAACAAATATGCCACAG